GCCGCAAGCGGGCTTGGATGAGGAGGTTAAAAGGCGTTTCTGGGAGAGTTTGGACGAGGTTGTGCGTAGTATTCCACCCGCTGAGAGGTTATTTATAGGAGGGGATTTCAATGGCCACATTGGGTCGGTTGCTGGTGACTATGGCGAGGTGCATGGTGGCTTCGACTTTGGGGATAGGAACGGAGGAGGTTCCTCGCTGTTGGATTTCGCTAAGGCTTTCGAGCTAGTGATTGCGAACTCGATTTTTCTGAAGAGGGAGGAGCATCTAGTAACTTTCCGAAGTTCGATTGTGAAAACTCAAATTGATTACCTCATCCTCAGAAGGTGTGATAGAGGGTTGTGCAGGGATTGCAAGGATATCCCGGGTGAGACCCTCGCGACCCAGCATAGGCTCTTGGTAATGGACGTCGATATTACGATAAGGAGGAAGAAGAGGTATGTTCGTGGTCAATCGAGGATTAAGTGGGGAGCCTTAACTAAGGATAAAGCCCAGGAGTTGGAGGGGAGGTTATCGGCTATGGGAGCATGGAGGAGTAGTGAGGACGCCAGCGCTATGTGGGCTACGACGGCGAACTGTGTTAGGGAGGCGGCAAGAGAGGTGCTAGGGATTTCGAAGGGTCACTCTGGCAGGCAGGCGACTGGTGGTGGAATGACATAGTCCAAGGCAAAGTGGAGGCGAAGAAGGAAGCGTATATGAAGTTGGTAGGGAGCACATGCGAGGAAGAGAGGAGAGCGAATAGAGAGAGGTACAAGGTAGCAAGAAAGGAGGCTAAGAATGCATCATTTGGCTGACTGTATGAGGAATTGGGGGAAAAAGGCGGGATAAGAAATTGTTTCGATTGGCTAAAGCGAGGGAGAGGAAGGCTCGGGATCTGGATCAAGTGAGGTGCATCAAAGACGAGGACGGTAGAGTCTTGATGGGGGAGTCCCAGATTAAACAAAGATGGCAGATGTACTTTCAGGGTCTTCTAAATGAGGAAGGGGACCGTGATATAGTGCTAGGGGATCTGGGGCATTCAGAGAGTCTCCAAGACTTTGGGTATTGTAGGCGTATTAAGTTGGAGGAGGTCGTGGGGGCTATGCGTAAGATGAGTCGGGGCAGAGCGACCAGGGCCAGATGAAATTCTGGTTGAGTTCTGGAAGTATGTGGGTAGAGCAGGCTTGGAGTGATTGACTGGGCTATTTAATGTTATTTTCAGGACGAAGAGGATGCCAGATGAGTGGAGGTGGAGTACAGTGGTTCCATTGTACAAGAACAAAGGTGATATTCAGTGTTGTAACAACTATAGGGGTATCAAGTTACTAAGTCATACCATGAAAGTTTGGGAGAGGGTGGTGGAGGCGAGGGTGAGGAAGATAATGTCTATATCTGACAACCAGTTCGGGTTCATGCCGGGTCGCTCGACCATGGAAGCTATCCATCTTATTAGGAGGTTGGTGGAACAATACAGGGATAGGAAGAAAGATCTGCACATGGTGTTTATTGACTTGGAGAAAGCGTATGACAAGGTCCATAGGGAGGTGCTATGGAGGTGTCTGGAGGTAAAAGGTGTGCCGGTAGCTTATGTTAAAGGGATCAAGGACATGTATGATGGAGCTAAGACTAGGGGTAAGGACTGTGGGAGGCGACTCGGAGTATTTCCCGGTTGTTATGGGGTTGCACCAAGGATTAGCGCTTAGCCCGTTCTTATTTGCCTTAGTAATGGATGCACTAACACACCATATTCAAGGGGAAGTGCCATGGTGTATATTATTTGCTGATGACATAGTACTAATTGATGAGATGCGGGACGATGTTAATGAGAGGTTGGAGGTTTGGAGACAGGCTCTCGAGTCTAAGCGTTATAAATTGAGCAGGACTAAGACGGAGTACCTGGAGTGCAAGTTCAGCGCCGAGTCGAGGGAAGTAAGCATGGATGTGAGGCTTGGATCACAGGTCATCCCCAAGAGAGGTAGTTTCAAGTACCTTGGGTCGATTAGTCAAGGGGATGGAGAGATTGACGAGGACGTCACTCACCGTATAGGAGTGGGGTGGACGAAATGAAGGCTAGCATCTGGAGTCTTATGTGACAAGAAAGTGCTACCGATACTCAAAGGTAAGTTTTATAGGGCGGTGGTTAGACCGGCCATGTTGTATGGGGTAGAGTGCTGGCCAGTTAAGAACTCTCATATCCA